CTTAGGTACATGAAAGAGGTGATCGACTTATTGAATTCTGCCAACACAAAAATTTTAAAATTACTAACACATGTTTTCGCCAACCCCACCGAAGGTTATATACCTGGAAATCACTTAGAGACACATTACACGGAACCGAATGAATTTCACGGAAACTGTGCAGATGTTCCGTCAGATCACAACCTTCTGTTACCAAAAATGCCGCTTAAATTATCTACCCATAAAAAGTCAAACAGACAGTCTATATTAGGTTTAGAAAAATTAAAAGACAATAACATCAAAAATCAACTAGCACATCAAATCAGCAATCAACTTAGAAACTTTAACAGAGCCGAAGAAGACTTGTTATGGCAAGGAACAAAATTTGTATAGAACATCCATAAATGTATTAGGTACAAAGAAATACAGTCCAAAACAAAAATGGATGACAAGTGAAATCTTTGAGTAAATGAACGTAATTTAAAAACAAAAATATGCCGGAATATGGAAATATTCATTTAAATATAAGACGCGCAAAACAAAGCTGGCTTCATCTTCACAAGAAGTTTATTTTGGTCCAGCCATAACAAAAAAAGAAATCTTGATAGTGAGTCAGAAAGCTAAAACCAACAAAGCTACGAATCCTGACGACGTTCGAGCAGAAATATTAAATCTGATTGATAATCAAAACTGGGACTTGCTTTACAAAATATTCATTGAGATATATGACACAGGCGTGTTTGCGTCAGATTGGCTTTCATCAATTATTATTCCTCTTAGAAAAACAACTAAGAACAGGCACACGAGAAGCTTACTTTTGTGTTCAAGTACTGTTTCGATATTGCAGCGATGTCAAGAAAGATATTTTCGTATGTTTTTTGGACTATGAGAAAGCTTTTGATAAAGTTCAACACTACAAATTTATTGACATACTAAGAACAATGGATATTGATAAAAAAAACTGTTAGATGTATTAAAAATCTATGTTGGCACCAAACAGCTAATATAAAAGTAGCAGGACAGCTAAAGAAAAACATTCAGATTCAACAAAGTGTTCGTCAAGGGTTGTGTTTTATCACCGCTACTTTTCAATCTGTACGCAGAAAACATATTTCGGGAAGCATTAGACTCAGTTGAAATAGGTATCAGAGTCAGCGGCACATATACCAATAACATCGGATATGCTGATGATGCAACTCTTTCGGAATTCGCAAGACTCGCAACCTTGAGTAGACAAGGTCAATCATTCAAACATTATGGACAAATTATGGTGTCAAAATTAACGCTAAGAAAACAAAATTTATGATAGTAAGCAAATGCAACACACAACTCTTTCCAACAGCCACAATCACTATCGATAACCAATCGAACCTGTGTCCAGATTTAAATATCTTGGGTAATGGTTAAATGAGGATTAGACTTGTGAGCAGAAAGTAAGATATCGAGTCGAAGTAGCGCGAGCTTCTTTTAACAAATATAAGAAGGGGTTTTGTTGTACAGGCTTCAATTGAACATTCGTCTACGTTTTTTAAAGTGCAATGTATGGTCTGTACTATTATATGGAGTCGCATCTTGAACCTTAAAAATCAACCACATCAACAAACTTGAAGTATTCGAAATGTGGTTGTACAGAAGAATGCTGAAAATTTCATGGGTTGATCATGTCACGAATAACGAAGTTCTTCGAAAAATAAGTAACAGTCGTGAACGTCTAACTTTTATAAAATGTAAGAAAATTTCATATTTTGGACATTTAATGCAAGATGAAAAGTGTGCCCTTCTACAGCTAATCGTACAGGATAAAATTCATGGCAAAAGTGGTAATGGCCGTAAGCAAATTTCATGGCTACGTAACATCCAACACTGGACAGAATATCAAATCTTGGTAACTTAGTGCATTCAGCCATAGATCGTGAAGCTTATAGTGACATCTTAAACAGAGCAACATCAAACTAGTATGACCGCTAACATTCAGTAGTGAATAGGCAATGGAGAGAGAAACTTCAAAATTAAAATTTTGACTAGCGGTTTTTTATAGGTAAAAGTGCTAATGCTCAGTTCCTAAAGCATATTATTTTTTAAATTGACATATTATAAAATGAAAAGCTATAAAAATTTTATCACAATATTTGAATAATAAAAAATATAGCCCACTATACTAAGAACTTGTAATTAATTCGTAAAATAATATGAAAATAAAACAAAACAAATATTTAACTCTCACTTATTATTCAGATCTAATTAGTTTCTCTGATTTGTTGTTATTTTTTCTATGGCATTTTTAAGATCTGTATTACTATAATTTTGGGTAAATCCTCTAATTCTAGAACATTTATTTCTACATTAAATATATTAAATTGTCTAAAAATGCTTAGGTCGAAAATTGGAAATCACATTTTTTTATAGTCGACCTTTAAGGATTTTACAAGTATTTGTAATTGTAGTATACCTAACCTGCCTTAGTATGTGCAGTCCCAATTTTTTCCATAAAATTGGCATTTTTTTATATTTTAACAGAAATGTTTAATTCAACTTTATCTTAATTTACCGTTAGAAATAAAATTATGAAAATATTATTTAAATTAACACTTATTGAACAATCTTCTTAATGATACACAGCAACAGTTCAACACAACGAATTTTAAGAACTTTTTGAATTTTTAATGTTTATTTTTAATGTTTATTTAATTTAAAGTATAACGAAAAGAACAAAAAATTTTTGAAAAAAAAAACTAGCAGTTTCAAATCAGAATTCTCCATTTTTTAAATGGGTTTGAATGAAATCAAGTCGATTTTCAGAAAATGCGCTTTCTCGCTTTCAAAGCAAAGAAAAATATGCAATAATCATTACACATTCCACATTATAGTTGCGACCCTTTTTTTCGCTCTCCTTGCCTAAGCTTATTTTGCATATAAGGTCGATCCGGCGCTGATTTCATTGTTCCAATAAGATAATTTTTTTTTCAATAGGATTTTTCTATTTTTATACCCTGCACTTCGTGAAGGGTGTATTCACTTTGGTATGAATTTTGTAACCACTTTAAGGAGTCGTCTCCGATATGGACATATATATATTCTTGCTTAACGTAAAATTCTGCGTTGATTTAGACATGTCCGCCCGTCCGGTCGCACGATGACTCAAAAACGAATAATGCAATCGACATCAAATTTTCACACGTTTTTTTTTGTACTAACGACGGTTGCTATTGTGATTGGACCAATACGGACAACGGGTTCGGGTAGCTGCCACACAAATCAAAGAGGTTTTTTTAAATATTTCAAAAACTAATAGAGATATTAATATCAAATTTTGTAAAAGTGTGTTCAATCATGTACTACATATATTCTGAATTTTAATGTAATGGCTGCACTGGTTTGGGTAGCTGCTATACAACTCCCAAAGTTAATTTTGAATTTTTGGAAAAATAATAAAGGTAGATTCATTAATTTTAAATATTTCAAAACAAATTTTTAAACTCAGATTATCAAAGTGCAGGGTATTATTCGGTCGGTTTATATCGGCTGAAGCGTTTTTACTTGTTTCTCAAATTATCGACTGATTGTCTCACTTTCAAAAACAAAGTGAATAAATTATATATACATACATTTTAGAAAAGAATACCAAAAATGTATTTTTTTTCATTCTAAAATTACATTATCAAACATATAATAGTTACTTAGTTTCCTCTCGCTTGTCGAGTAAAATAGCGACATAGACGGTCAGGCCCTAAATGTAAGATGACTAATCATTACCTATATAACGAAAATTTCAAATTTTTTAATTAGTAACATAACAAGGAATAATGTGCATATGCACACATGCAATACTAAATAATATTAATATAAAATTTAATAGCAGACCTAATCTTTAATCATGTTTAATAATTATTTAAAAATTCAACATCAAAATAAATAAATAAAAGAAATTTAAAGATCTTAATTATTTTTTAAGTATAGTTTTTAGATAAAATTCTCTAATATTATTATATTATATGTTATAAAGAAATACCAGCAAAATACAAATAAATTGAATTTAATAAAAGAATAATAATACAAAACAATATTTAGAGAAAAATAAAAAAAAAATTAAAAGGCAAGTCTAATTGGAATTTTAATATTAATAGAAATTAAAATGTTAACGCAAATGTAGATATACATTTATATACATGTGTATGGATATGCCTATTCATATGACTATATTGTATTTTTCCCGTAGAACATTACTTTTATTTACTAAAGAGGCTTCAATCAGAATGTTCTCTCTAAATTCCTTTATAGGTAGAACATATGACTTTTATATACATATGTTTGTTTATATAAGTAGGTATGCATGTTGTGTTAAATGTACATATACATTTATTTATCTACAATAATAATATACACACGTTATGTACGTAAAAAAAGTATGTAAAACGCATACGAATTTTTTATTTTTTTTTTAAAGTATAAATATTTATAAAACGCGGTGTAATTGTATATATTTACAGTTGGCTTTATACCATGCTTACTCATATATAAAGTTTATCATATGAAGTCATATTTTAGATATATACATACAAATATATTCATACACACATACTATATTAAAGTAAGCAAAAAAAAACTCAAAATAAAAATAATACAATATTATAAAAAATTCCTCGCACACACCGGAAGGAAGTAATACCACAAAAATATAATATATGTATTGGATATATTACATATTATTATACACATGTATAGAAATGTAAAATAAAAAAAATTATAAAAAAGGAACAGGAAATAGCGAAACGTTGAATTCACCACTCTTTTACATTCTTTTTCTTTTTTTTTAAATTCCAATAAAATTTGAAAAAAATATTATTATATGAAAAGTTAAATATTATAAACAATAAATAAAAAAATTTAGTTCAAATTTTTATTTTATTATTATACGTATGTATGTACTTTTATATGTATATATACACAAGTTTTATATGTTTGCATGTATGTATATTATATATAATCAATAATCATATGTAGTATTTAAAAATAATAAATACCTAACATTTATTTATTTATTTATTATTCAGAGTTGAATTCATTTTCTTAATGTTCGTTAAATATTATTCAATTCAATTTAATTAAATTTGTTTATTGAGTTCTTGCCGGCAAACTTGTTTTTGTTATTTATTTTAACACTTTTTTTATTTAATTTTATTCATAATGTTTTTTATCTAGTTTTAAAAATTTAATTCGTTTTTCTTTTCTCGTGCTTGTTTAAATTTTACAAATAATTAATTTCATTTTATTCAAAAATATTTTTGCTTGCAGAATTTTATTTCTTTTTTTAAATTTCTAAAATTAAAAAACAAAAAAAATAGATACTTATGTACGTATACAAAAATAAAATATCGTGTACTCTATAATATAAGAATGAAAATAAAGGTCAACGCTTGTTTTTTTTTCTGTTTCTCTATTTTATGTTACATTTTTTTTTAATTTTACCGTAAATTTTCTCTTTTAAAATAATAAAATGTCAGTAAAATGTAAGTACATAAATCCATATGTACTTTAATATCATTTTTTTCTATTAAAGTATATATCTGTATTTATTATTTTCACAAACGCATGTATGTATATGTATTTCTTTTTTTTGGCAATGTTTTCATTTATATACATATTTTATATACAAACATATGCATCTCTTAAGAGTGTATTACTAACTGAAGAAAAAAAACACCCGAAAATTAATTATTTTTGTATGAATTGTGTGTAAATCAAAAAATAAAGGCTAAAAACAGAATTGTAAGTAAAAATGGGAGATTTTTTATTTTTCTGTTAAGTTGTTTGCTTGTTATTATGCTTAATTTATAATGAGTTACAGTTTTTTTAACAAGAAATAAATTATTAGTAAAATAAAATTGTATACATCTAGCAATATGTATATAATTCCAATATTTCTAAATATATTTCAATATATGTAATGTATGTAAACATGCATATGTGCCAAAACAGCATTTACTATGAATGTGTAGTTTATTTTTAAATAAGATTATTTGTATACATATGTATGTACATATGTATGAATGTATAGTAAAATTAAAAATTTTCTTTTTGATGTGAAAAAAGGATTTTGTTAATGTTGTACTGTGCTGTGCTGCTTTTGCTTTATATAAATCAAGTATAAAATAAAACGAGACACCAAATATTTCAATTTGAATTATTATTCTAGTTCAATTTAAATTCAAATTTTTTAAAATATAATATGAATATTTTCTTATTTTTCTCCCGCTAATTGTTTTCTCTCTCTATCTTTCATTTTTTTTTTTAATTTTTTGTTTGCCTCATCTATTTTTCCTACTGTCAAATTTTTGAATTTTTATTATGAATATATTTTTTTTTTTATTTTGGCTGATCTTATTTATTTTTTTTCCTTTATTGTTATTAATAAATTAATTTTTTTAAAAATATTATTTATTGAATAAGTTTGAAACAATTTGAATTTTTTTTATTAATATAACTCACTGATCAATTTTTAGCTTTTTTTAAGTATGAAATTGTATAACAAAATAATTTTTATGTTTTATTACAAAAATTTTTAATTTCATATAGGTTTTATAATTTATTCACATCATTTTATATTAAGAGATATAATTATTTTAGAAATACATTGTACACATACATATAAATATCTAATTATTTTTTTTTAATGATTTTTTAGTTTTAAATATATTTTATGCGATTGCAATATATTAGAAAAGGTAAATATAGATAACAACAATATAAAATAAATTTTTTATTTTTAAATTATCTATTTTATTTTTATATTATTTTGTTTTTTTTTTATTATTTTTAAGAGTGCAGTGCTCTCCCTGACTGAATGTTTTTATTCGTTTCTTAGTCGTTTACACAATAATATTCCTGCCGCCGCTGTCACTTAATATTTGACTATTAAATTATATTCCTTAATTCATTTTTTGTTTGAATTTAGTTTTATTTTTCATTTGCATTATTATTATTCAATATTATATTTGTGTATTGAAAAAAAAATAAAACACAATCTTTTGTGTTTCCATTTCTTTTTGATTTAAATATGAACAAAAAAATAAATAATAATATAATAAAAACTTAATATAAAAAATACTATAATAATAAAATATAAAACGATTTATAAATGACAATACAATAAAAAAAAACAAATGCTGTATTAACGGCTTCAGCTTAAACACTGACAAGAGTTCAATTCCACCATCAAGACGAATGAATATGTACGAAAAACTTTTTCGAAATAAAGCAAAAATAATAGAAAAAAAATATAAAACAAGAACAAAAAAAATGGAAATAAAAACAGAAATATGTAAGAAATGACAAAGAAAAAAAACTTTTATTTGATTTTTTTTCCATATATAAGGAAAAAAATTGTTTTATTTTTTCTTTTTATTTTCGAAAAAAAAAAATTATATATATTTGTTACCGGTACGGGACGAGGTCGAACTTGAAATGAAAGGGAATTTCGTTCTATTCAAGGGTTCCAACAAAGTGAATTTCTTTTTTTTTTCATATTTTAATTTTTATAATTTTTTTGCTTTCTTACTTCAACATTCGAGATTCGTTTCTTTTCAATATACAACATTACATTACAGAAAAAAAATAAAATGAAAAACACAAACAAAACTACATAAAAAAATGTTCCATGTAAAAAAAAAAATACAAAAATTTTTTTTTCCATTGCCGCCCCAATCCAATACAAAAGAAATGAAAAAAAAAAGAGAGAGACACGAAAAAAAATCTACCACAAATTCATTCAAAGAAAAAAAAAATTTTTTTTTTCAATCTCAATGTACACTAATGATAGGTTCTTTACAATAATTTAATTTATACATAGTTTCTTTAAAAGATGATTGCAAGATGTTACCCTATTTCCATTTATTTTTATTTTTGTTTCTTTGCATTTGAACATATATTGATGTTCAATTTCTAGCAATTGGAATTAATATGTAAGTTTAACATCATTTTATTTTAAATTTTTGAAAAAGAAAATACTTGTTAATAGACTTTAAGTAAATTTGTTAAACAATAATTTCCATGGAGTTCCATGGAAAGTTTCAATAATTAAATTTTCCTTTCTCTCCTGATTCCATGTAATTTTTGGTAATTCGATCGTTTTTTTTATCCTACTTCGCCCCTGGGAGGAGCGTGGGGCCGTTGCATGATATCGTAGACAATCAATCATGAATCAGATTTATATTTAATAATTATTCTTTATATTTATTATTTATATTATTATTAATATTCTTTATATTTAATAATTAAAGTTATTTTGTTAATGGTATATAAATATTGAAAATAATTTTTGTAGTGACCTGATCGAATTTTAAACTCGAGATCCTTTTATTAAAGGACCAGTGCAATAACCACTGCACCATTGATCACGTTATTGGCAGTAATTAAATAAAAAAATACTTATTTACTTATTTTACAACAAAATTTTCAGATGCTTAGGGAAATTATACAGGTTATCATTTTCCTAATTATTCTTTATTACTTTTTCCAAAATTTATTTTCCCTTTTTTTCATTCGATGATCTTTATATTATTATCATAGGGCAATTTAACTTTATAACTATACACTTATAAGTATATATTGCATTTTAAAATTGCTAAAAATGAAGGCTGAGTTTAAAAATGTCTAAACATTCAAAACTTGAATTATTTTTGTTTAGAACCTGGTAAAATTTGAAACCCATGCAACCTATTGACTAAGATAAAAGCGATATTAAAATTTAAAACAAAGAGTGTAAGGTGAGGGCTAACATCAACGTTCATTTAACTATTGAAGCCGTCACCAATATTCATTCGAAAAGAAAGCAAACTATTTTTATTCTGCGTTTGTTGAATTCAGTAAAATGTTAATGATCTCGACATAATAAATTGTCAAAAAAAAAACATTTTTAGAAATTTGATATACATATATATCATATATCTACATATATGATGATTTTGAAATCTGAAAACTCACATTTTGCGAGTTTATTCAATTGACAATGTTCAAGTTGTAACGAAATTTGAGCAGCCTCAAAATTTATATAAATGTGTCAAAAAACGGTTTAATTAGTTTCCAGTAAAGAGTTTATTCCTTTAACTTATTGTGTTAACATATTCACACATCAAATATTTCTCCAAAAATTTCCTACAATAATAAATCCATGCATAGTAAACTATAAAAATCGAAGAGAAAAAAATCTCCATGTGTTTACGTTATTTAATAACGTAGGTATATATATACAAAAAAAATCCATTTTTTTTTCACCAAACCAGACCACTTATACACACTCAAAAAAAATCCATTTTTTTTTTCCCTCATTTCATCATTATCATCATCATCATCATCATCATCGTCATCGCCATCATCATCGCGATAATCATTATCAATATCAATATGTAGTATATATTAAATGTATGAACATAATAAATAAAGCAAAAAAAAAAAAGCAGTCACCACTATGTTACACGAGTATTCTTGGCGATGGAGCATGAACAAATTGTTATTATTTCTTTTCATCTTTACTTGATGGTTTGAAGAATGAACATAAGACCACTCAGTCAATCATATCAAAAGTAATCATTTTAAAACTAATTCTTTAGTTCCGAACTTTAAGTTGGTTAATGATAGATATTAGACATATACATACATATGCATGTCTCCATGCATTTACGTTTTTGTGTACGTAAATATGATTCTTTGTAGGGTCGTATGTTCATAAGTATATTGTATTGTATCGTAAGTAAAATTTGTACATGATTATGCATTATGCATACATATACATCATATAACCATATATACAATACAATAAGTATTGTATTTTTATTTATACAGTATTCTAAAGTAAAAAACTTTTTACTATCTTAAATATGTTCACATATTCATGGATAAGCACACACATTACTTACATATGGATAGGTGTATATTTATGAATTCATGAATGCAGGTAAGTATATTACATATGTACATGTGTGTATATACTCATGCACAAGTTCATAATAATCATGTTTATATATTAATTTAGCTATATATATAAAGTAATATTAGTATATTTGTAATCTAAGGATCTGTACATTTTACCTCATGTAAATGCAGTGTCTAATTATAAGAATAGGTATAATTTTTTTCTTCTGCACTAGCAGAACCTCTTTATCAAATTGAAGCCCTAACTATTCGCTAAAAAATTATTCATTTTACGATTACCTTCCCTTTTAACGCATACCCCTTATAATATTGTTGTGTGTTGTGAATACGGTTGTAACATAATAATATAAAATTTGCATGCTACATACATATGAACATGAATGAATGACATAAAACATTGGATATATGTATATACTGCTTAATCGTATTATACATAATTACGTAGTTAATAATATATGTATAAATATGTTTTACTATATACATACATATTCATCGATATGGAAGCTAAAAAAAAGTAATAATTAAAAAAAAAAGTATGCCGTAAAAGGAATTCAATTCAAATCCATGCACACATATTCACTACCACCCGGGAAGTTTATATATATTTTTTTTTTTTGAGGGAGTACAATAACAGTAGGGTGGATTTACGACAAGTGTAATTAAACCATTTAAAAAATATATAATACACAAGCACGAAAAAAAATATTATTGTTTATGTGAAGAGAGAAAATATAAAAATAAAAATTTCTTATCTCAAAGAAAAAAAAAATATCAACACACTATTAAAAAAAATTCACTCACACATAAAAATAAAAAAAAAATTTTTCTTTTTTCCCTTCTCAATTTTTCTTTTTTATATTTTTTCTCCAACATACATACTTATATACATATGTATATTGAATAATTATGATGTAAAAACGAAAAGAAAAACATACGACAAAAAAATTAGATTTATCTTCGAAGAAAAAAAAATTTTCTGAAAATGTTAAAAAAAATTTACGTAAATATTTATATAATATAAATGTACGTAGCTGTATGTTATTATGAGTGTGTTTATGCTTATTATGGAACAAAAAAAATTGTTACGGTATGCGTGAGAAAAAATGCTAATTGGAAATAATATTGAAAAGTTACTTTGGCAAACATACTCAGAAAAAAAATATTGTGTTTCGTTGCATGTACACATGTAAATGCAACTTTAGTTTTATATAATATACAATTTACTTTGTGATTAAATAGTGTTACCATATATTTGTATTTACATTTTCATTATATAAAACTTTTTATTTAAAATCATATAAAATATAACACATTTTTTATATATTATAAGTTGTATGTAAAACCATATACTTATGTACATATATTGACTTATGCATGTACAGAGTGTATAGAGCTTAATAATATACATACATACATAGTTGTATGAATATGTTTACGTATGTACATAGATATCTACTTAATGTATGTACGTACGCATATTTATGATTGTGGGGGTAGGTACACATAAATATTTTTAATAGAAGTAAAATAATCTCTAAAATTTAAAATTAATTTTCATGCATAACAATTATAGTAAATGTATATATACATATATACATATGTACATATATGTATAAGCATGTAATGTAGATCTATGTATGTATATACATAGATTGATAGCATGTCCCGATAGACTCAAATTGTATTTTAAATCTCTATTTTTTCTTTGTTAAAACTTAACACTGTCTTTTTGGTTTTTTCACTACCTTTTTGAATGTAGAACTAGACCAAAGGCGCCGTTTATGTAATTTTTTTATTGCTTTTTCCATTCTATAACAAGGTCAATTCAGTTAAAATTAAGTAAATATCTTGAATTCAAATTCGGATAATTCATGAATCAGAAGTTTTTTAATCAGAGAATATCAGAAAAAACATTTTGATTGTAAGATTTGGGGTAACCAAATTTTTAAAGCTCTACGTAAAAAAAAACGTTTGCTCAAGCTGAAATTGAGATAGATATTAAATTAAAATAATACAAGTAAAAATGTTTCAGTTGGTATAAACCGATTGAATTATACCCTGCTATCCAACTATCTAAAATTAGCTTTTGGAGTTGTATGGTAGGTACCCGAAACGACTGCCAAGTTTTATGAATCTGACTTCATTATTTTTGCGAATATAAAAAATTTGCTTTTGGAGTTGTATGGCAGCCATCCGAAATGGTGCCGCCATCCTATTAAAATTTTTAGAGCATATGTAGAATGTAATTAGACACACGTGTACAAAATTTCATATTTATACCTTAATTAGTTTTCGAAATATTTAAAACAAACTCTTTGAGTTGTATGGCAGCTATCCGAACCTGTTGTCCGAATTGGTTCAATTACAAAAGAATTCGTCCTTGGCACGAAAGAAACAACTTGTGAAAATTTTGTGTCGATTGTATTATTCGTTTTTGAGTTATCGTGCCATATGACGGACGAACGGACATGTTTAAATCAACGCAGAATTTTAC